ATACGAAAACTGAAATATCGCCTCATTAGCGACTGCTCGTTTGCGAACGCTCCGAAAGAAGTATTAGATTCGGTGTAGCAGATCCGCGACTTCGAACTGTTCTCTTCGATTCGCCGAACTTACCATGAAAGCAGATTTTACGTATTTGATCTTCAAATTGTTGAAATCTTTCGTAGAGAAGAAAAAGATGCTTAAATAAATTCACGATATCCACAGTTTCGCGTTTCGAGAATCTTTAACAAAGTCGTAGCGACGGCATTAGTCTCCTGCTTCGAATAATTATTTCCCACGTAGTTGGTAACACCGAACCAACCCTGTCAATTAATACGAAGGGTTAAATAAATTTAATCTTGTAATTTTTCTAACGCAACACGCGTCGGACACCTTTGACAACGCGTTTACCTGGTTCGTTCTGTTGGACGAGATGTTTTTTAAAGTCGAAGCACAAACTGCGCAGCACCTCGTTCTAAACGCAACGGCTTAAAAAACACACGCTTTATCGGCTCCACCGGTGGAAAACTAATGTCAGCGGGGTCCTAATAAAACCGTGACAGTGCAGGAAAGTTCGCAGTCGTAAGAATCGAAGGTTGACCGAGCACCGAGCACTGCGGAGATTCGCGCGAGACTGTGTGTCGTCCCGGTCGAACTTTCCCACTGCGTATCGATCAATGACATTGGCGTTTCGAACAATGCGACCCCGTTTCGGTATTACAGTCATCAGTCATTCGGTATAAATATTAAATTCGCTAAAAAAAACCGTCGCCGATGGGGTCGAAGTTGCAACGTCAGCAAACGTATACAAAAGGCGGGGCCCAGCTGATCGACGTCACGATCGAAGGGTCCCGATCTTCGGCCGAGGATCATAGTCGTTCCTAGAATCGATCCCGCGCGATTCTCTCTCTCCCTCTATCTCTGTCCTATCTCTCTCCATCTCTCTCCTATCTCTCTGCCTCTCTCTTTTCCTATCTCTCTTCCTATCTCTCTCCCTCTCTCTCCCTCTATCTCTCACCTTCTATCTCTCTTCCTCTCTCTCTCTCTCCCTCTCCCTCTCTCCCTCTCGATCGCTTCAAAGATCGTCTAAGAACTCCTCGAATGTCGCACAAGAACTTATTGTTTCTGATCTCGAACATCTGCTCGCGTCGATGAACAACTGTACTCCTATTGTTCGTTCCGCACTCCGCTGTTTCTCCGAAGAACGATCCGTTTAAAAGACGAGGTACTTGTTCGCGGTATTTAATATTTGTCCCGAGACCCTATTGTTTCGGAAGGAAACGCGGCAAGTTCGTCTCGAGACGGCGCGGCGCTTCTTTCCGTTTCAAGTTTCAAGAGCGCATGGCTCGTTTAGTAATCAGACTGCGGATCTCTATGCAAATTCCCGTCCTCAAAATCGGAGCAAGAGAAAACTCTAAGAGAATTTTTTACCTCCTGACCCTATAAAGAAGAGACTGCGCTATAATCCAGCAGAGGCGGATTAATTCGTCGGAAAAATCCGCACCTTGCCCGCCGGTTGTTCCCGTGTCGAAGCACTGGTTAATTTTCGCTTTTGTGACAGTAATAACAAGAATAATGGCCGTTGTTCACGGCGACCGAAAACGAGCGTCCATTGTCGCCGGCACGGGAACAAAACTAATTTCAAGGGTGAGGTTCCGCAGCTTTGGGTATTGTAGTATTGTCGCTTACCGGTTACGAGAGACGACCGTTTAACGCTCGATAATGAAGCGTATCTCGACGCGGACAGGAGGATCGAGCTTGTCCGTGGACCGCAAAGGACGCGGCCCTTCTTCTCTCTCTCTCTCTCTCGACTCTCGAGCATCTTCGAGGGCACTCGAGCCGAAGGATCGACCGGCCGCCGATCAAGAAACGCATCGGCCCCCCCCTTTTTTCTCCAGCGACGGACAATGCGTTCGATTATTGCGACGCGTTCCGTAATTACGTCCGCGAACCGTTCGAACGAGAGGAGTCTCGAGTCTCCGATCTCGAGCCTCGAAGGGCTGTTTCTCGTTTTTTCCTTAGACGCTTTCGTCGCACGCCCGCCCTCCGCTTCGTCGCACGTCGCGGATTCGATACTCGATGAAATTCGACGTGCTATTACGAAGACAATCGTCTTAATCTGCTTCGAGTAGCTATTGTTTCAAACATTTCGAACTCGTCAAGCAGGACTGCGTCGCGATGGTTGCAAGTGCTGTCTTCAGCTTTCGTTTCTCGAGAATCGGTGTTCAGGCTTCGAGGTGTCTAGAGAACGAGCCTAATGGCCTAATGTCTCCATCGACGGTCCCTGGATGGAATCGAGCGTCGTAGAGAGCTCGCGGCATGCGGCCCGAGCACAATGAGACTCGGCATTAATTAACGAGGGAATTAGCATCGTCGAGCGGGGTTAGCGAACGGCAGTGATTACGTTTTAATGATAGCAACCGTCAGCGGTAGGAACGGTAGCGGCCACGGGAGGAACATCAGCAGAGCGCCTACCGGTAACCAGAGCCAAGAGCCAGAGAGTAACACACCGCGCCGCGATTCCTCGGGTTGTTGGCTGCTCGTCGACCCGCTCCGAGCTCGTCTATCTAACATCTATTCCTCTTTTTCGCGCTCTGCCTTCCTCGTTCGCGCCTCGCCTAGCCTTTATCTTTTTACGATTCTGCGATCCGCGACTCGGTCGCGCCTCCCTCTCGCCCTCTCTCGCCCTCTTGCCCTCTCGCCCCCGTGCTCCTCCGCCTCCTGCTCTTCCTCCCCCTTCTCCTCCTCCCACACTCCGCTGCCAACAGAACCAGGCAATTCTCCTGGGACCGAGGTGTGAATGAGATCTTCGGGAACCACGATTTCTCAAGAGTTAGCTGTGCGTGCATCTCTCGCCTTCTCTTTCCTCTTTTCGACGCCGCGCCGCTATGAAATTGGCTAACAAGCTTGTTAAATGTTAACAGTAACCGCTTGTTAACCGGCTCCGGTGTTGCTCTGAAATTCATTTCTAGACGACTGACCCTTGACACCGGCTTTTTTTCCCGTTCCTGTACGATCCTCGACACCGTCTCGAGCCGTTCCGACGCTCGTTCCTCTGCTCGATCGTCGAGGAAACATTCGTATCGGCCGAATCGTCGATCGTCGAATCGTTTCCCGACGCAGTTTACGTTAATCGCTGTCGTTAAGTTGTCGCGTCGGTGAGACCACAGTTTTCTTCCTAGTTGGCACGGAAGAATAGAAAAATGGTTCGCGTGGTTTATTGTAATCGCAGTCGTTTACTAGCGAACAAAAGATTAAGACGAAAAGAAGGCAAGAAATACGCGCACCGTAGTGGAAAATCTCCAAAACGCAACAACGCATTAAATTTTGCAACCCCATGTTTGAGATCGAGAAAGCGATAACCGCATCGAAACGAAACCACCCAAATAAACAAGTAACATATCGTACAATATGCGCATAATTGAAATGAAAATTCGCTGCGTTAAATATGCGACCGCTACTGTGCAAACTGCACGATCATTCCGCGCACGGAGGTTGAAACAAGCGAGAATGGAAGGAGCTGATTTCGGCGAGCAGAGGCGAGTAGAAATGAACGTTAACGTATGTATTCCCGACTCGCGCGTTCCCGTATATTAATGAGCGCACGAGCGGGCGCGCGAGACAAGGCGAAGCGAGAGCGAGAAGCGAGAAGCGAGAAGCGCTACTACGTTCCCCTTTAGCGAAGGAAGCTAATTAAGAACACCGCGAGATTTCTCTGTCCGACCTTCCTGTCGGCGGCAAGCGCGATTTTTCTCGTCCGGTTTCGGCCGGGGTCGCACGATCGCGCTCGCGACTCCCATTCCCCAATCCTCGATCCCCGTATTCTCGATCCCGATTCCCGACGGCGCTTCGCGTCGCGTTTTTCCCCGATTCGGCACGCGTTTCGACGCCTCCGGAATCGGTCGGCCCGATCTATTCCGGCGATGCGGCGCGATAATCGCGTGCCGAGCCGCGCCGCGCCGCGCCGCGCCGCTTCGGAATGCCGAGCGCGCGCGGAAGAGCGTGACCGGTCGTCCGCGGCTTTAATCGCTCGCTCTGATTTCAATTTCTTTCGAAATCGATACACCGGCCAGACGCTGCTCGCAGGAAATTCGAGCCGACGCGATCCTCGTTTCGATTCCTTCGTTTTCGACCCGCGGCTAGCTCGCGATTACACCGTGGCATCATTATGTAAAACAAAATTGTTCTGAATCTATAGCGCGAAACAGAAATTCCGTGGGAATCTATAATTTCCCGTTCCGTGCAAAATGCGAGCGAAGAATGAGCGACGAGCGCCTTTAACGAAGATAGCAGTATCGAACGCGATATTATTCTATCGGTGGAAATGTGTGCTAATTAGTTGCATAATTATTCTGCCCGTGTACTTTAGATACGCGTCTCGTTCGGAACAATTGCTGTGTCACCAGCCTTCCTTTCGATATATTCGTGGGAACGAGTTATTTATGGCCCGCGACTATCAGGTTTTCTTTCAGCGACACTGAAATTACGCGAAACGCTAATTTCTTAACGCGAAAATAGCAGTCACGAAGAGAGACCGTAACAAAATCAAACTTATCGAATTAAAAGCCCGTCGCGAAGGACGCGCGCGACGCGTCGGTGTAAACCAGTTTAATCGCGGAAGAACCGTCGACGCCGTCATCGACGACTTTTACGTTTTTATTCGCTTAACCAGGCATTGTTAAGATCGATCGCGAGTCGCGGCTCGAACGTATCAACCAGCGACGGAGTTAATGGTTTCATTTTTCTTGCTCGACCCGCCTCTGGTTTCTCGGCTAATGAGGGAGTTTTGCTGTTGAATATCCAACGGAATTGCCACCGCCGGCGCACGTTAATTGCACGTCAAAGTTGCATCGTGAAACGCCGAACGGAAATCTAGAAAAAGAATGTCGTGTGAGTACAGGTTGCTCGAGATTTATTTGCCGAGTTACGAATCGGGGAGAATGCTTAACCGCGCCGCAGTTGCATGCCTGCCCGTCGTTTCGGCGCACTGCCGAGCTACTTACCGCTTGCTACTCGAGGCTCGCCGGAATTTCCTAGAAGGCCCATGAATTCTTTCGCGAATAACTTCTCTCGATTCGAATAAAACAGCGCCGCGGCCTTTGTTCCGCGTTCTGCAATCCACCCCCTACTTTCCGTCTCGGTCTCCTCGAGCCTCTCTCAATTAGCCTCTGTGATTTTTCTGGCTGGGAAACTGTTCAATCGTCGAGGTATTTCGCCAGTATCCGCGTGCTTCTATATTTTAAATCCAAGATTTTTAATAACGCATCCGAACGTCGCTCGAGATTTCTAGATATTCGCATAGCTCGTTCTTAATGCTGCATCGAGAAGTTAGGTTCGAATATTCTTCGCGTTTTTAACGCTTCGTCGAAACGCGTCGGCCAAGATCTACGGATCTTTACGCGGTTCTCCATTTTTATAGCCGCGTTCGTGAGAAGTATAATTACCGTATTCTTCGCAAGAAGAATATAACCGTAAGCGATCCGTTGTCGTCGCTAAAAGAGCAAATGATCTTTGAAATACTTCTTACCGTACTCGACAGCTGCGCTCTGCAGTTCGAACTCTCTCCGATCGTCCCTGGAATAATCTGTGGAGCAGATTCCAAGAAGGAAATCGACGATGCATCCCCTGCGAACAGAAAACCGAACCGTCGATTTCGCAAACGATTTCGCTATCGCCCACACAATTACAGGCCTCGCGGCCATCGAGTGCTCGAAACCTGGAAAATTGTCCAGCATACGAACTGGCCCATAGTGGCAATTACCTGCACGTGAACCTTTGCGGTGGTATCGCGTGAAGAAGCGGTCGTCGAGGGGAATTCGAGCGCGCGACGAGATCGAAAGCCGTCGTCGCGCGTCGAATCGCCTCGCCTCGCGAGAAGTCGCCGGAAAATTCGCCTCGGCGAGGGGGTGTAGAAGGGGAGGGGCGGCCAAGGGAGCCGAGAGGCGGCTATTGAATAATGCATGAGAAGATCGGCGTATCGGTGACACGCGGTTCCTCCCGACACGGTGACAAACAGGTTTCCAGCATGCGATTCGTTACGCACGACTCGCCGAGCCGCGCCGAGCGGAAGATCTCGGGCCCCGGGGACAAAGGGTGCCGAGGCGACTACCGGGGCCCAGGGGCCACTAGATCGCTAATTACCAGGACGATTATCTCGCGGCTGAAAAACACAGGGAAAGAAGGCGCGCGCGACCGCTCGCGATCCGGCCGCCCGAGGAAACAGCGAAAGAGAGAACTAACAGGACCCGGGGGCCCGCTCGATATCGGGGCCACGCGATGCGTAACGGTCCCCGAGATGTATGCTATTCCGCGTGAGATACTCGCCGGCCATTGTTCGATCCGTTTGCGCCCCTTCCCTCTCCTCTTCCGAAGAGATCGTTACGCTTTGTTCTTTCACACGACGCGCCGCGTCCACCTTCTTGGCGATCTCTGCCGATTTTACGGCGATCTTCTATCGATTTGGCGCGAACTTTCTGCTGATCTACCTGCATAATTGATCGTGGCCTCGAAAGAAGGGCGTCGATACCACATTGTCCATAATTTTGTACTATTCTTATCTATTCTTGCAACTGTCGCAGACTCATCAGTCCGCGGTTGACTTGTTCGTGGGTGAATTATGGCAACGACTCCACCGCGTCGAACGAGTCGCTCAAGATTAATTCGAGAAAAATGTTAAAAAATGTTAAATGTTCTTCGTAAAATTTGGTTGCGGCGAGTCGTCGAAACGATCTCCGAATAGGAGTTTTCGCGACGTTCCGGTGGCCCCGATGTATTAAGAATATCGTGACAGTGCATGAAAGATCTATTAAATGTTTCACACGATTTTTAACAACGAACTTACGATTTATGAGCTCGAAGAACAACTTTATCATCGTCCCGAACAAAACGATGACGATTAGTATCGCGATCCGGGGGCTCGGAGGTTCGCACGCCTATTCCGAGCGTCGTTTCCACATTCGCGCCGCAGATTTGTGATAAATGGAATGCCGGGAACGCGGTCGGATCGGGATCGAGAATCCTACGCTCGGGGCTGCCCGCTAATTACAGGGTGGCCCGAATAAATTACGAGTCGACGAAAACGCGGGCTTGTGGGAGCGAGGTGTCGCGACACCGTGTCGAAACCCGACCGCGTCTCCTCCGATTCCAAAGATCGATCGATTCCCGCGGCTAATTTTTCTCGAGAGACCGAATTTTTCTTCGCGCGACGCGATCTCCGAAGAGCGCGTCTTACGATTTTCTGTCGAAACGCGAGCAATCTTCGAAGAATCGAATCTATCCGCACCCTGAATCTCTGAAACCGCATCAAACACGCTCGACTCCCCGAGATTCCGTATTAAAATTGAACGGCTTCAAAGGGGCCGCAGCGATTCGTAGCCGATTCGGTAAAACGGTGAAAGGGGATCGTCGCGGAAATGAAACGAAGCGTCGCTCCTTAACTCGCTTAACTTCCATCTCGAGGCGGAATGCTCGAGTCGGCATAATGAGGAAACGGATATCATTTCTCAGCTCTCCTCGCGCCTCGCAGGCTCGATTACAACTTTTTATTGCATTTCCATTTGGTATCGCCGACGCGCGGCACGCGGGGCGCAAAGGGAGCGCGCGTTCGCTCGCGAGAAGAAAAAGAGGCTCGAGGAGCACCGGTGAAATTGCCAGCGAGATTGTTCGGGGCTGCGGCAGGGGCGTGGAACGAGGGTAACAACGCGGGGCTGCGACGCGACGCGACGCGTCTCTTTTAAGTCGCGAACGAGACGCCTGAAATAATTCGGGGATGCGTGAAATCCGGCCAGGCTCTCTCCATTCGCCGCGATAATCGGGGCGTGAGCGATCTTACCGGGGTACAGGGGGCGAGAACAGAGGCCGAACGGGGGAACCGTAGGGGCCAGAGATCGCGGCGAGTTTTAGGGCGCTGTTCGCCACCGGCGGCGCGGCGCAGCGCGGCGGCAACGTTTGTTGCGAAACGAAAGTGTCTACCACCCGTTGAGCGATCGACGGGGGCGAGAAATTGGGCACCTCGGGCACCACCAAACCCCCGTTTTTCGGCGACGCGGGGCGACACCCGCCGCGCGATTATGCGACGCGATCTTTCAGGCACGCTCGAGCGTGCAGCCGCGCCGTGTCGCGCCACGCGAAAAAACGCTTTTAGCAACGGGACTGCCGAACAAATATCGGATTAGGACGAGCACGCTGTTAGGAGAGCTGTTAGCAACGGTGTTGGGATAGTCGAGGTCCCCATGAAACGGGACATCCTCTATTCAGACGATACCGATACCGAGATGCTGATGGACGATCTCTCCGATGCCTCGAAGCGACCCGTGTCTCTTGCTTTGTAAGAAAGGCAAGACTGATTTTATTCAGACTGTTCCCTCTTTTTGTTCAAAAGTATTTCGACTGGCACCGTTAGATGAAGTACACGTTTTAATTTAGCTAATTTTCCTCCGGATGAACGAAGAAGCGCTTCTCTCGACCGGGTCGTTTCGATCCCGAAAATAAACGATGTAAAAATGGCAGAGGATACGCTCTCGCGGTGTACCTAAAAATCGTCGAATTTTCAGCTACGAGGCCGATGATAGCAGCCCCCGTCGAAACGAGTCGAGGGTAAATCGTCCGTCGAATTCGCCGGGCAATCGTCGACGCGAGCAATCGAGCGAGTGCCTTCAATTTCCTCCCCCGCCTTTCGTTTCTCTGTTTCTCTGCTTCTCCGTTTCTCTGTTTGACACGGGCTGCGCGGAGGGCTTGACGCAGCAACAGGTGTCCGCGGGGACATTCGCAGAAACGCGGAGGGTGCGAGAGACGGCGAAACAGCGAGGTGGAGAGAAACAGACGGAGAAAGAGACGGCGAGTCGGAGAGGGAGAGGTAGAGGGAGAGAGTGGAGGGCAAAGGGTGGTTCGAGAGCAGGGCACGAGAGAATTCCTCCTCTTTATTTATGAGCTTTTTTATTCGACTTGTTGAGCGCCTTCCTGCTCTCAATCTCTTTTTTCCCTCCGCCCGCGTTCCTCTTCGCGCCCTCTTCGTCCGATCGGTCCCCCTTTTATCCGGCTAATTCCGCGTAGTCGCGGGAAAAATCCTGTTGGTCGCCCTTCGTCGCGCGCCAGCGAGCGAGTCGACGCGCGCTCTCCGACCGTTGGAACGACTCTCGACGAGATAGTGTCAGCGGCGCGGGTCTCAGGTAGAAGGCCCCAAAGGGACCCGGCCACCGGATAGATACGATTTCGGGCGTAATCCGTCAAAGAGTTCTTTCACCGACGACCGTCGGAACGATTTATCTGCGATCTCCATTAAAGTTCAGTTAACGCCCTCCTGCCTCCCTTTCTTTCTCCCTTCTCCCTCCACTCTCCTCCCTCCTCCCTTTTTTCTCGCGCGGCCACTCCGCGGGAGCGTGAAGCGGAATCCCAGACACGAATTCCTACGGCCCTGCTCAGCTCCTCGAGATCTTGACACGCTCGAATTAGTCAGCGACACCGGGGAATCCGTCGATTATCCTCTGGCTACCGTTTCTCTCGTTCGAGATCCTGCGATCTCGAGTCTCGAGATTTTCGTCGCTCGACCGTACTCGCATTACGGCTTTCGTGGAGCTTAAGCCAAGTTCGGGGACACGCGTGCGTCGTCGCGAAAATCGTAAGCTCGAGATCGTTGGAAATCTTTCTACGCGGGCGGCGGAGCAATTTAACCCTTCTGTCGAAGGATCGAAGGTTCGAAGGTTCCGCGGAAGACGGTTGGATCGACGAATCGATTGAATTTTTAACGAAAAACTCGAGAATTTCTAATGTCTGGAGAACCGAGAGCCGAGAGCGTTCCGGATTGCCCCTGGGAGCGTAGCTCGCGCAGAGTGGGCGCGGTTATCTCTGGTGGGCGTGTCTTCGAAAAGCCTGGGAACCCGATTTCGCTGCAAGATTCGCAGCTAATTGTGTATCACCGCGCGGCGGATTCTCGCGCATTAAAGTTCTGGCCGCATAAAACTGCTCGCACGAAGAGGATAGAGAATAATACAGTTTCATTTAAAGCAGCCATTAGCGATGGAAATGAAATTCTGCTCGAATTTATGGTCCCTTAAATCTGTAAACACCGTGGTTTCCTCGGAGCCGGGCGCGAGGATTGTACTTGCAAATGCAGAATGCGGCGCGATAAGAAACAGGAAAAGCTGCAACTGGTCGGAATTAGCCTCTATTTCTCAAACTGTTCCAAACTGTTGCGCCCGGGCTGTAACTTCGCAGATTCTGTCGCGATAAGCGATACAATTGCAGCCGTATAAATTCATGGTCGTTCGCGGAGGGTTGTGCCGCGTTGCGCGCTGATTAATTTCGCGCGTCGGCCGCGGGGGAGGGGCTGATCCAGAGATCCAGAAAGCCGGCGGGCCATAGAAGAAGAGAGCTCCGAGCACGCGTGGGCGGCCGAACGTCCCCGACATCTCCATGACAGCGTGAAACCATAACTCCGCGAGACTCGCGCGGGCAAAATCGTCGTACGAAATCATAATTAACGGAATTATGTCGGGAGTAACCCGATACCATTCCCGAGTTCCATGTCCCGAGTCGGCAAAAAGGGTGGCGCGCTCCGGAGAAAGGGGAGCTCCGCGGGCTTTCGAGGGGGCTTTCGAGGGGGCTTACCTCGGACGTAAGAACCGAAG